CATACATGCATACGTACGTATATGTATATATATATATATATATATATATATATATTTATGTAATCCATAGTATAGACTGTATGGCAAGACTCCATTGTCTTATTTTCTTCCCCAAAAAAACTTCATTTCATTAAGGCAAATTTTCCTCTCAGTTCTTTTCAAAATGACTGGACTTTTTTGCTGATGCGACTCCACGTGGACAACAAAATGATTAAAAAAACTTACAGAATTATTTAAAGTATTTAAAAACCTAAACATAAACTGACAAATAATAAAATAAACTGGGGAGAGCGTTCGTTAAAATGAAAAGAGTTTATTGTCCAGCAATAATAAAATCAATTCAGCCTCCCCAAATCCCCTTCTTGTCAAATTGGTAATTGCAAAATTCACCCTTGCAATTGCAAAGGCAAACCATAGATCACATTCCACACACCAATCAACGTTTTTAAGCCTTTGGGGGCTTTTCTTTCTTTTTTGTTTTTTTAAGAAGCTTTTGGAGCTTAAAGACAAAAATAGAAAAAAGAGAGACATGTGTTAGAAGGCGATTGGTCCATGGCATGAGAGAGAAAATGTTCATTCCCGCCAGTTTTTTCCCGCCAATAGTCACGACATGTAGGTTTCCCCAAATCGATAGCCCCACAACCGCCAACATCAGTCCCTCCAACTTCGAAGCCCTCTTTCTCTCTGTCTCCCTCACTTTCCTCTCTGAGACTCCCATCGGTCACTCTCTCTGCTTTTAATCTTTGCATTACTCTCTCTAATGGCGTCTCCAGAACTCACAGACTATGAGCGGAAGAGGCTCGAGAACATTCGCCGAAATGACCAAATGATGGCTTCTCTCAAGCTCCATTCCATCGCTGCCCAAGTCTCTGCCTCAACCAAACGCCCAAGGTTCGCTCTCTCAATCTTTTTTTCTGTATGTACATGAAAATCACGATTTTCAGTAAAACCAGTTGCTAATTTCTGGTTTTAATGGTAGGGCTGAGACCAAATCGTACAAAGTATGTCCGAAGAAGCAACCCAAAACCCAGACCCCAATTGTTATAAGGCGTTCTTTACGTACAAGAGGTTTACCTCCCGATGCCAAGGGCCTTAGCGATGATGCTATCGAATCCATGGTCAGGACCTCAAAATCTCCGAGCCCATCGAAGGCATCGCCTCGCGACTTGGGTCCTCTTAGTATGAGAGATGCGTATAGTGGAGCGTCGGATCGAGCTCTAATTGAAGCCCTTTTGGGTATTGCGAACAAACCCCAACTGAGTGCTTCAGTAAAAGGTGAAATTGGGAGATTTGAGTTTTCCAAAGTTGAGAATTCGAGCGGTGCCTGTGAGGGAATAGACGGGCTTACTTATGGTTTGATTAAGAAGGAAGATAATGAAATTGAGGATGGTTTGAAGTCGGAGCCTTTGACTGAGGGCATAGATGGGATAACTTGCGGTTTGATTAAGAAGGAAGAGAGTGAAGTTGATAGTGGTTTAAAGTTGGAGTCTTTGACTCTGAATTCGGAGAATATAGCGCGGGTTGTGCCAGGGAGAATTACAAACGTGAGTTTTTTTCCTTGTACTAGTTCAAGAATGGTTGTGGTTGGGAATAAGTTTGGGAATGTTGGATTTTGGCATATTGATTCTAAGGAAGAGGAAGAAAGTGGGGTCTACTTGTATCATCCCCATACAGGTCCCATTTCAGGGATTTTGATTCAACAACATTGCATGTCAAAGGTAAGTTTTATCTGAACGTTTCGTGTATGGTTGTAAAAGATGGATATTTCTAATTTGATTAGTCCTTTGGTTTGTAGTAGATTGCCCAGAATTCTCTTGATAACTTGGTTTGAATGTTAAGAGAGACGAATCTATATGTTTCCAACTCCAATTGTTAAGGTTATAAAGCGACCCACTTATATATGCTTTAAAAATGTACGTTAAAGTTCTGTTATTTTCTCAGTTATGTCTGTTCACACATTAATGTTGTTTACCATGCTGAACTTCTGAGTAGTAACATAAGAAATGGAGTTTGGAAATGATGTGGTAGCAACTCCCGTTGTGAATGGCACTTTATCTCAATGATAATGGGCCCTTTTTTTGTTTCCTTTGAGGATGGATGCTTTCTACATGGGAAGATTTTGTTATGATGATCTACAGCATGTAATGGCTAACATATGCTCATTTTAATCTTGTTATTGAGATATGTCTCAAGTTTTGATGTTAAAGCTAACATATGATAATGCAGATCTTTACCAGTTGTTATGATGGATTTATCCGGTTGATGGATGCTGAGAAAGAGGTGTTTGATCTAGTACATTCCAGTGAAGAGACTATATACTCCATCTGCCAACAATCAAAGGATCCAAAATGCTTATATTTTGCTGAGGGTCATGGAGGTTTAAGTGTCTGGGATGAGAGAACAGGAAACTTCTCAAACCAGTGGTCTTTGCATGAAGACAGAATTAATTCCATAAGCTTTAACTCAGAAAACTCTAACGTCATGGCTACTAGTTCCACAGATGGAACAGCCTGCATCTGGGATTTGAGAAGTATTAATGCAAATAAACTCAAAACTTTAAGAACAGTTAGCCACAAAAGGGCTGTGCATTCTGCTTACTTCTCGCCATCTGGAAGGTCTCTAGTGACGACAAGGTGACTATATTGTGCTGTTTTAAACTTCAGTGGAATATTTTAGTTCCTGTCTGGAACATGTATGCTAGCTTTGGTTTCATTCATTTGCTTAACAAATACTGTTTGTTAATATAAGCTAAACAGCGATTTGAGAGTGCAAACATTGATTTTCTTGCTGAATATTTTTCATGAGATAAATCGGTAGGGTTGGTGTATATGCTTCTTTTTACTATGTAGTACTAGTAATGTTTCTCAAGGGTCTAATGTATCTCACGTAATGTGTATATGGTGATTAATGAAATGCGTTTAAGTTGATCTCACTTGTGGTGGGACTAATTTTCTAACCTCTTCATGCAGTATTGACAACACAGTTGGTATATCAAGTGGAGTTAATTTTGAGGACATATCAATGATATACCATGATAATCGTACTGGTAGATGGATTTCTTCATTCAGGTATGATTTTTACCAGATTTTGAAATGCTGATGTGACTTGTCTTCGCTTAATTCTTCTGCCTGATTTCTATCATAATCTGTTTTTCAATTATAACGTTTTCTCAGTTTTACATTTAAAAAAGAATATCTGAGAAGTCTTTCAATTCAATTATTCTGACTTTGGCTAGTGTTTAGCCTTATTCCGTACAATGGTAGTGATGCCAAGAGTAGATTCACCTTCTGAAGAGAAAGTTGTAGTGGTTGTGGATTGAATTATGTACCCTAACAAATTTATTTTTTGTTGGTAGTAAAATACCAAATACTAAATTTTGCCACCACGAAAAAAGAGGTCGGTTTCTGACAGCTGCTTTTAACACTGGAAACAGGGCAATATGGGGCTGGGACGATGAATATGTCTTCATTGGCAATATGAAAAGAGGTGTAGATGTTATCTCCCCAGTTGAAAGAAGAACAGTTTTCACTTTACAGAGCCCACACATGTCTGCAATTCCATGTAGATTTGATGTTCACCCCTTCAATGTTGGGATGCTAGCAGGAGCCACAAGTGGAGGCCAAGTTTACATATGGACGTTGGGCTGCTAGAATCATCTAGTTTGTTAAAACATGATGAATTTTGTACCTTGAGACAACAGAGGTTTGAAACGAAACCCATAATGAGTGCAAATTAAGCTTGTACGTTGATAAGCTTGTACGTTGATTTGTCACATGATATTTCTTTTCTTTTCTTGGAGAATCATGTAGTGCAAATTAAAATTATCAAAGTAAGTTTTTTTATTGATATCTCTCCCAATTTGGAGGCCATTGATGGCCGCCTTGCTCGCATGTGCCCAGGGCTATCCCACCATTAAAAGCTTATTCACCACTGGCTTGTACCCACACACACACACACACACACAAAATATTTTATTATGCTTGACTAGGAATTTTTTGTAAAAAAATTCTAGAACGTGAGCCCTTTTAGTTCGCTGACTAGACCCATTAAATCAGTAATACAATTAAAATTTGTGATTGATAGCTAAAACAACAGCTCAACTACAGGACTAAAAGCATACTGTTCGGCCCAAGTATAATTCCAATGATTTCTTTATATTGTAGAAGCCTCTTTAATGGTGGGATTGAACTCCCTCACTCTGAACTCTCATTGAAGAAGCCTCTTTAACTCCCTCCCAATTATATAACAACTTGAACAATATAAGGAAACTTCAAGGCGATTGCCCCAAAAAGGTTATGTAGAAACATGAAATACATAAGTACTCTCCCAAAGACCTGCTTAGATTTCATCCTCCTCGAATGGATCTCGTTCAGGGTAGTCACCAACCTGAAATTGCACTAGTCACATTAGTCAACTCCATGAACAAGTCATGCAGGAAATACACAAAGGCATTCAATAGACTGTTAGCAAAAAGGTTTGAAGTCAGAATTTTACAATGATATTACTTATCCGCTGTGAATGAATATAAAGAAACCCTTTCAATTAGGTCATTAAAAGCAATTTCATTTCACATAAGACACTTAAGATGGAAATGGTATGTGCACCAGAATGGTAGGAATCCAATTGCATTTAACAGTCATTGCTGACTCCACGATTTGCAATTAACCAAGTCATCATTGAGGAATAGTTCCTAAGCTAACTCCCCGCCTTAACCTTGGGTTCTTCTTCTAATGTATAACAGTAAAAGTCTTAATTTTTATTTATTGAAAAACACTCACACCTTCTAGATTAAATTGTCAAATATGACTCCATATACCGAATTTTACCTTAATCATTGACAAATTTCATTTATCACACTTTTGCAACAGTTCACAGTAATACAAAATCTACGAGTCCCTCTTAACAAAACTACCTGAGACATATCACTTAGTTATCACAGTTTGCAACATTGGATGACAGTCCATACCAAGAAGGATATAGGTGAACTTTCAGCTTATCCAGGGCTAAAAGGTGAGCCCCAAACTATTGTTCTGTTCATGAAGCGGTTGAAATACCACAGATGGGTGACAACCTATGAGCTAACAGCTCATATTAAACTTTAAAACAAACACAGTCCTGTTACTTGTGAAACAGCCAATCGAACCAAACAATAATATACTCCACATCTTGATAGGAAAATCAGGAAAAAAAATCATTTCGAAGTGTTCTAGAATACAAATGCATACGAACCTTTACTTTGTCTGGCCGAACGATTCCACCATGAAGTGGGGGGCAATTGAAATATCTTGTTCCTTTCACCCTATGATAATGAAGAAGAGGAATCTCAACCAAATAATATGTGGGGGCAATTGAAATATCTTGTTCCTTTTACCCTATGATATGAAGAAGAGGAATCTCAACCAAATAATATGCTGAAAACAGGAATGCAAATTTAAAATAGGCAATTCAAAAATGTCCACTCATGGTATAGCAAAATCACAACATGAAAGAATTTTGGTTCTATCAGATTTAGTAACATACCAAAGATCACCAACACTGTAATAGACACCAATTTCAAGAAATATAAGGTTGTATGTGCAGAATTTCAGAGGGAAGAATATTCGAAATTCACCAATCTTAGAAACTAGTTCAGTGACAAGAATGGATACTGATTGGATACATACACATATGGAGTGAGCCCTAAATTCTCCAAAGCATTTAAAATTGTATAATATGAGTTTAGATTCCATTATCTTTGTAACACATAACAATTAGTGTTTCTTTTTGCTCGTAGTGCACTGTAATATAATGTTGCACTGAATGACACAAACATGATTTACCAAACCTGATAAAAGAGAGAAAGAATGAAGAAAAGCATGCTGTAACAAAACATGTACACTACTAGCTAAAAGGAAGAACAAAAATAATAAAGTAGAAGGGAAAAAAAAGTGTATCTTTACTACCAGACAATATTACATGTTATCAACCAAAACCAGATGAGAAGCATCCACCAATTTAACACACACAAAACCAAGCGTCAACCAAGAATTTACTTTTTGCAGGTAAAATGAGAGTTATATATATTATTTCCTATGGGAATTTTCTCCTTGAGCAAAATATACTCAAGGGAATGGAAAAAGTGTGATACTCAATCAAAAGATAGCAGACGTAATATATTAGCTCATAGTCTAGCTTATAGATACTAGGCTCTTTTTTTTTTTGGTTGAACTACTCTCTATGTTGAATTCAAAGACTTAAAATTGAAATCTGCTTTTATTTCTTAGATATTTAATACATTAACCACACAAAAAAAAAATCACGTAAACATTATCTTTTACATCACTCTATGCAGGTTTCTTTTATTTGAACAAAACAATTTCTTCACATGCACTTTCTGTCCTCAACGTCTATCACTAGATGCACTCACAACAATAAATGATATTAACCTTGCTATGATTATTCTAAGGAAATGAGAAATTGTTAGGAACAACAGAACCAAGCATATACCATTTTTATGATTGGCACATGAGATGCCAAAAACAAAACATAGCATGAGTCAGGAGCTCACTTACATGCCATCATGCTTTCCCAATGGTTCATCATATTGAACTCCAATCCAGAAACCAGGAGCCAGAGATTCTGCCCGACCAACAAATTTAACAACACCTCTTTTATCCCCTGGTTGAACTTCACATCTATCTCCAACCTTCAGCATATAAAGTAGGAGAACTGAGGCAATCATGAATATTGTTTTACAATAAACACGAAAAGAAAATCCTAGTTAACACATAATAAAATATGAGGAAGATTTTGGAGAACCAAGAATGCTTTCAACTCCTACAAAAAATACACGCAAATAAAGAAAAATGATATTAACACATAATCCTATAAAATTACAGTTCAAGATACATCTAGAATGCTGAAGAAAATGCCAACTGCAACTGGAAAATAATCCAGCTGAATGCTTGAAACCAACAAGGTAAAGTTAATGACACAACATTACCTCATGGAAATTTAAATGCTACAGACTTTAAATCCTTCAGATCTTAAAAATATTAGACAAATAATTATGTCATTTCTTGACCAAAAAACAAAAAAATTATTCATTTTTGTAGTCTGTGGATGCGCCACAAAGCTAATTCAGTCAGTAGTACACTGTTAAACTATTTAAAAAGACAAACTGAGCCTTGCGGTTCATGCTTATGACCCAAGAACTACTAATACTTAAACAAAAAAGAAAGGAAAAAGGAAACAGGAAGCACCTTGATATTTACACAGAGATCTTCCATATTGTTCTCTGGTATCTGCGAACAAAATTTCATTAAACAAACTTCTGAACATCTCAGTTTGATTTGACACTCAATATGCATCTTAAAGGAATAAATAACATAGGTGATGCTTACTTTATTCTCAAAAGCTGATGGGTTCTGAGATGCCAATTTGTCCTTAAATTTTCTAAAAGTCCCTGAAACAAAACCACAAACATGTGATTACAAAAATAATACATAAAGAACAAATAATAACTATGCCCATTATAATCCAAACAGAAATGAAACCAACTCTCAAACAAAACTGTAAACATCTGGATTGAACCAAATACACTTCACAAGAATTATACACATAACAATATATTGGGTAACTTACCATCTCGTTTCTCATAAGCTTCTTGGGAAATAGTGTACTTCTCCACCAACGATGTGTCCTCAAGCCACCCACCAGAGGTCACCGATGAAGGGTCAAGATCTATAACATGTAGCCGGTAGCTTTCAATTTCAAACACACACAACCAACAATAATCACAAATTTAACCAAATCACAAATAACAAGAGAGAGAGAGTGTGTGTGTTTGTGCGTGTACTGACCCGTAGTGAGGGGAATAGAAGCCCAGGGGCTTGGAGTTGTCGTTCAAAACGGAGACTTGGGTGTTGGCGTCGTCATACAGGTGGATCGACATGGAATCTACAGAAGTGCCGCATTTACGCCATAGCTTGTCCTTGACGGACTCCACGGAGCTCTGTAGGGAAAAGCGGATGTCAGCAGAGAAGGTCTTGAGGTTCGAATGAGTTACACGCAACAGTATGGACTCGTCTCCTTCGATCTTCTGCAACCGAGACGCCATTTTCTTCAATGTGAAAGCTGTGAGCAGCTCTACCACTTTGCTTTAATCTAAGAGCAGTGAATTAGGGTTAGGGTTTGAGATTTGATCGAGGCTGAAGAAGAATTCACAGTGAGAGATTGTGCGAGTCGTCTCACTGTTACGAAGCTAAGCTAGGTTGGGATTCTGGGAAATGGAAAGGCGTCTGCTTGATGACAATGTCGTTTGTGAATCAGGTATAATAGACAATGTCGTTTGTACCCTACTAGATGACAAAATATTTAAGGGCATTATTGACTTTCACCTCTTCATTTCACATTCTAATACAAATAGGCATCGCAACCAGGAGAAATTTTTATAACAGAGAAATAAGGAAGTGAGGTTTATAACAACAGTCTCTCATTAATCCAATACAAGTTTTTCCCCTAAAACACACTACTACACCAACAAACTAAAAGATGTTAAATTACACCCCAAACTCACATCAAACTACATCAAAATAAAACAAAATAAATAAATAAACCAAGAACATGCCTTCGGAATTGGATCGTAGACGCTTCAATTACAAGTACAATCTATTCTGACAGAAACGATAAGCGATGTTGATGAAGGCAGAAACTAACTAAAATGAAGAACTGAAACTTCACCTCCAATCCCCTTACGTCAAAAGAGAATGAAAATTTTTTGCTTTCTGAACAGCTACTACTCACAATCAAATTTTGAATCACAACTATCCACTGTTTGTAAAACTAAGTGGCCATGGCTAAAAGCCTGAAAAGTACTTTACAGGGCAGTAGCAAGAAAACCTGCAAAAGAAACAAGCCTTTTGATGATTAATTCTAAAATGACTTTGTACATGAAATTTTAACCATGGCACAAAAAGCAAATGGAAAGAGAAATGGACAAACTCAACTCATGCCTACCTCAATGTGCAGGATTATATGCTCCAATCCATGGCGTTAGGGCAGTAAAAGTGTGTCTATCCAATGCTAATTTTCAAGCATGATCCAAGGCATGATAAATTCGGGAAGCTCGTCTTCGAAGTAATGGCTCCAACCGGAATGATGGAATTCCACTCTGCCACTTTTTTGCTTCATGCATCTCATTCCATGCTTGTACTATCTCATCAATTTTGAATCCCATACCTGTACAGAAAATGAGCAATTAAATGTCTAAGCTAGTTAAAGAAATGGCAGCAGTAGATCATTAGTTTCAGAGTGCAAAACTTTGAATTGTGTCACCTTCCAATGCATTATCATTTGAAGAGTGGTTTTTAACCATCACAGCTATATCTGTTGAAGAAGCCCCAGCAAGTCCAAATTTTTCAACTGCAACTTCCAAACATTCGTGCCATACAGGTAGCCCTAATTTGAATTCCACAATAGAACGCTCATAGAGCATGGTGCCCCATAGGAGATTTATCTGACACCTCATGCTTGTAGCCTGGTCTGCAGCTTCATGTTCTGATATGTCTCTAAAAATTCCATCCAAACCCATTTTCTGCAACTGGGATTTAACACTACTTGGACTGGAGAGTTCACTGAGACGTTGCTCTTCCAATTCCTCCCACAGCTGCATGCCTTTTTCCATATTGTCTTCAGCATAGTTATAAAGTCGTAGAACCTCTGTAGAAGGCCACGTCTCCAAATCAGCATTGCTGCTAATTGCATAATACCAAGAAAGTTTTGCCTGTTCAAACTGCTGCTGCCCAAGGGCCAGATAGCCTTCATAGAAGTCTGGTTTTATCTGCAGCGCTTCTTCATATCTCCTTCCTGCTTCTATGTATTCTTTTTGTGCCCAATCATATGCACTTTGGATATTTGAAATGATTGATTCTTTTGAAGAATCTTCTGTGAAATACACCTTCTTCCTTGCCCTGGCCATGTGAACATTTCCCCAGTTGAACAATGCTAAAGCTCCCATTTCTTGAAACTTCTCTCCTGCTATGTCAAAAAGGTCTTGGGCTTCTTCACTTGTAACTGTCTCCTCCATAGCCTCAGAATAAAGCTTCACTCCAAGTTCATGAAGATCCAAGTATGCATCAGATTCAATCCCAGCATTGTTCTTGAACAGCTGAGCAAAATGGATTATCCAATCCTCAACGCAAGGTGACCCCTTCATATCCTTCTGTTTTACCACGCTACCATTCTCAGCTACATTATTTTGCTGTACATCAAGCTTGTGTGCTTCAATTTCCAGTTTCTCAAAGAATGGATCCTGCTCAGGGTTAACTTCCACCACGTAAAGCCTGACAGAGCCTTCCGATTCTGCTGATCCTTCAGCCCACCTCAGCTCTTCATTACTAGTGATTGTAACCAAATCACCTTCTTGGTCTCTATATTTGATAAGAACTGCTCTTGAGCTAGGAAACCGATCACGGACTACCTCTCTCAGTTGCAGGAGGGTGCAATTAACTGGCAACTGAGCCCATCTTATATCCTCTCCAAATACCAATTTCACACTTCTTTTAGGCACTTCTTCCTTGGGACTACTGATTTTCTCCTCCACAACTACCTTGACCTCTGCCTTCTTTTCCTCAGCTATTTCCACAGCCTTCTTTTCTTCAGCTATTTCCACAGCCTTCACTTCCTCAGCTATGTCCACAGCCTTCTTTTCCTCAATCTTGTCCTCGGTCTTCTCGTCAATATTTTCTTCAGCCTTCTTCTCTTCATCTTTGTTGCCCTTCTTTTTCCGATTCTTCAATTTCATTACTTTCCCTGGTAGTAAAGCATGAGTTGGTTCAACATAATCTGGAGGCAGCTCAATTACTGTGTCATTCACCCTCAATCCCTTCTTCTCAAGTACACTTTTCACTCTTTCTGCAACCTCTGTTGCCGTGATATTGTTTGGCTCCATGCTCAAAACAGTACCAACATCTCTCAGAGCCAAATCCAACCTATTCAAAGCCTCATAACACTTGGCCCGCTTCAACAGCGCCTTACTGTACTTAGGTGTGACTTCAAGAGCCAAATTACACTCATTGATAGCCTTGGGGTAGTCACTCAGCCCCATCTGCATATAGCAAGCCGCCATGTTACTCCTAAGATAGGATACATCGATATGATTTCGCGGAAGCAACTTGAGGGCTTTCTCATATTTCAACATAGCTCCTTCATGGTCCCTCTTCTGAAACAACTTGTTCCCCTCGTCCTTCAGTTCTTGAGACATTGAAATGAAAACTGCTGTGTCCTTATCATAGGCTTTTGGGCTATTATCCCCAGTTTTGCTTTGATTTGGAGCCTCACCTGATTTTTCTCCTGCACTCTTCTTCTTTTTTCCACCTTGCTTCCCCATCATGCACTCAACAATTCATAAAAAATGTTTGAGCCAGAATGAAAACTAATACCTAATCTAACTACAGGCCTGAATGCTCAAAAACCAAGTAGCTGATCCAATTAAGTAAACAAGAAAACCAACAACTTATTGCAACCAAGTCCTTTAAACGAGAAAAAGCAATCCAAGCCCAAAAGACAACTCAATACAAAACCTTTAAAAGGTGACCAGAATAATTCCAAAGAACTCTAAACTTCTAGTTTCCAATAAGTACACTTTGAAAACAGATCCTCACAATTCAATCGTGTATTAATACAACAAATCAGAAAAAGACAAGCATACCAGAAGTAAATCTCTTTTCCCAGAAACGAATTCCACCCAAGACCTCCTATTGTGGGCTGAATTGCTATGAAAGAAGTTCAAAATCTGGAGCTACTCCCTTGAAGCTCAACTGGAATTTCTTTCAGCAAAATTTCAAGACACCACAAACTCAGAATACGAATTCCCTTCCCTCTAAATCAGGATTTGTTACTGCCCATCCAATAATAAACAAATCCCAATTCAGAGAGAAGCAACTGACGCTTTGCAAAACCAAAATTGTCGTTCTTTTTTCAGCAGAAAAACAAGATTTTGGTGAGAAAGAGAGAGAGAGAGAGAGAGAGAGAGAGAGAGAGAGAGAGAGACTTATCTGGGAAATGAATTCTCGAGAAGAGGCTCCGGGTTTCACAGGAGAAGCTCAGACGAGAAAATGAGAGAAAATCTGTGGGTGAATGGGATGTCAGGAATGGAAGGAAAAAAACCGTCCAATGTCCGTTGGCTCCTTGGTGATGTGTGAAGAGAAGATTTTCACTGCTAAACGTAAACGCCACAAAAGCAGAGAAGATTCTGATAATTTTTAATTTCTTTTTTTGTTTTCATTAATATATTATCAAAACTAAAAAGAATTAATGTTTAATATGGTGGGTCCCCCGTTTCCGTGAATTCCAAGTTTCTTGGGGATTTTTGATCCGTTTGCTACTCCAAGAGCAATCTGTTTGTGAGCTGCTTGGGTTTGCAGTTGGCTTCTGTTTGTCTGTTAGTTTTCTTCTACTTTTTTTTTTTTTTTTTTTGGGGCATTTGGATTGGGTGTATAGATTTTATGCTTAAATATATAAAATACAACAAACAAAAAAAGTCACCTTAACATCAGATTTCCATGTTCTAAATTTATGTAGTTCAACATTAAAAAACAAAAAACAAAAATTACTGTACCATTTTCTAATAATTAAGATATAAATCTAAAATATTGAGCAGTATCTAGAAGATAAAACACATTAATCTAGAAGCTTAAAAAAAAAAGTAGGCATAAATGAAAACTCTGGCAATAGTCATTTCCAAGAGAAAATGTATACAAGTGGGGAAACAGAGGGCATATAAAAAGATAATGTAAACAAACTGAAAAAACAGAGGGGATAAATATTTAGTGGAATTTGGAAACCCATAGAAAATGTATATATTCAATATAGTGGTTGTTGTGTGGGACCATTGTCATCTAGCTACCAATGACTGTTTGCCACGTGGCTTGCATGTGAAAAAAAGTAACGAAGGGTCGAGTATGGCGAGAACCATTCAACTGCCAATCACAAAGCAAAGTGTAGGGGATAAGAAAGACAGCCTGTTCGGGAAGCTGAAAAAAAGGTGGACTTGTGGACTTTTACAATGCGTGGCATGTATTCTAAGCTACCGGCCACCGCCAGCGTTAATGTTTGTTTGTTAGAATATTTGAGGATGAGGGTTGTTTGCCTTGTTCTTCTTGTTGTTTAATTTTTGCTGTAAATCTAGTCAACAAATTATTCCGAACCAACTTGAATTTGGATAAATGCTAAAGCCCAACCCAATCCAACCTTCTAAAATAAGAAGAGGTTGGGCTTTGCAGCCCCACAATTACTTAAAGACTATTGCCACGTCAACTCAGTGATTTGACAAGAACCGAACTGTCCACTGTGTCAAAATTACAAGTGAGCACATTACGCGGCGTCCATTTATTGGCTAGTCTGCGTGGAGGTGTTAAAACAACCACAGCAGTATTGCTGCATCACTTATTCTCCTTCTTCTTTGTGTTCTTCGTCTTCTTCTTGACGTAGCAATAGCCAAGGTTTAATACCTCTCCTTCTCTAACTTCTCTTTGGGTTTTGAGACATCTTTTTTTTTTTTAATCTCAAAAGGAACAAAAATATGAAGTTGGTAGTGTTTATTACTCAACTGTACGTTCTGTGCCACCTTGTCTTGGCCGATCAGATCTTCCCAGCTCACCTAGGTAATTACCCACTTCTCAAATCCATCTATTTCCCTCTCATATTTGCATAATTTCATTTTTTCATTGCTGAAATTATCTAAAACCCATCGTTGTTTTAGTGACACCCTTCCTTCTTTGATACAAAATCATGTCTTGCTTACCCAATTTAAATAGTTTTTTTTTTTTGGGTATCAAGGGGGCAGAAGCCCAGAATTTTAGTAAGTTTATCAACTACATGTATATATATATATATATATAAAAGCGTGTGTGTATTTGGTTTTTTAGTGTTACATCAATCGTTGTTAATCAGATGCTGAGCTTGAAAACATTGGTGGAATTTGAAAGTTGTTTGCACTTGAGTAAGCCTTGATTCAGAGGCTTAATGGTTCATATATAGGTTTCTGGGATAACGTAAATATGACGAATTTTCAGCTCAGCTGTGATTATTAACGGGATGATCAATTTGAATTGCTATAGGACTGCATAGAGATTTCTACTGGCTTGGCAATACTTCAAATTAAACCACATTGAATTGCTTTAAGTTAAGCTTAATTATTTAAATTTGTACGTAAAAAGCCTTTGTCATTTAAGTTACAGCTTCTAGCTTAGTTGAGTTTGAAAGCAGTTGAAGGGGTCGTAAGCTTGTTTAGCCTTTAGTCTGAAGGGCCAAACTTTGTTGTCATCAATTAGTAGAGACTGGAATCGGGTTGAGAACGGGTAGTTTGTGGAAGGCACTTTATTGGCAAACAAAGTATCAAGGAAAAAAATTTGAGTTGCCAAAAGGATTGTTCTTAGATATGCTGAAGTGATTCAGCTGTAGTCAGGTCAGCGTTGAAACTGACTGTAGATTGTAACATGAATAGGAATCTGTGTCTATGATTTTAGGACCTTTTGTAATGCAATCACGATCTTTACATTAGGATAATCATCTTGTTCTAGCTTTATTTTTAACTATAATTAGAAACTAGATTTTATTTATATGATTTGTTTGTTAAATTTGATATCTTTTACTGCAAAATAAATTTCTTTTTTCTTCTCCATCAATTGATGAGCAGGTGGCACATTTAGTCGCAGCTCTCGTGAACCAAAATACAAGATTGAATTCCATCCTGAAGACTCACCTTTTCATCCTGTAAGCTAAGATTGTATTTTACTTGTATTTATTGTTTGTTCCTATATGTATGTAGTTGTTATATTTTGATGCTTTGAAACTTCCCCGCCCCCGAAAGGAAAAAAAAAGTTTTTTTTTTCTTTAGAATATAAAAGTACATATAAACATTGATCCTCCACAAACCATGTTGATCTAATAATTGGGTACAAATATTGCAGGAGGATGGTCAAGAGTCTGTGGTTATGCCAAATAACAATGGACAAAATTTTATATGTTACTTGCCTAAGGTGGAGGAAGCCAAGAGTGGGAAGCAAGTCCTTCAGCATAATATAAGCAGCGTGATTGTGGAAACTGAGAAACGAGTTAAAATGAAGACACCAGATGAGCTGCTTGAAGTACTCAAGGACCAATGCTTTATCAGAGTAAGATTTGTGACATTAAAACTGTCTTCAATTCGTCCCATGGTTTTGTAGCACATAAATATTTTTCCTCTTACAATTAATTTAAAAAGCAACACATCTATTATTTTGGTTTTTATAAATAGATCAAATCTGGTGAGGGCGCCTACGAGTAAATTCCCTTTACTGTTGCTCATAGTTATGTAACCTATAAAACTACATTAGTAACCAGGTGATTATGCATTTACTGTACATTATGCTAACATAACCAACTCCTTTATGCAGCAAGAGGGTTGGTGGTCATATGAGTTTTGCTATCAGAAGAGATTACGGCAAATTCATTTGGAAGATGAGAAGGTATTCTCCCATGTCCCTCTCAAATGCTCACTTTAAAATATAATGTACTTCTATTGTTAGTTCTTATTTCTGATGCCTCTTTTGAAATATGTTATCCGCAGTATAACTGTATATAATGAGAGGAAGAGAACTAATATGCCTCAAATGTGTTAATAAGTACCACATTTATCTAGATGGTCTTGGGCTTTAATGTAGTGTTGGCACACTGTATTTGATGCATTCCCGTAAGTGTTAACTACTTAAGTATTAGGGTTGGTCCTGGTTGGGTAATCCTGCCTGTTCAATGTGTTTCTGTTCCTCCATCCTTGTAGTGGTTATAGTGGTATACGTAGTAGTTGCTGTGGTACAGGTAGTGCAGACATCGGTCAATTTCTTACATTGGTTTTCTTTTCCAACTTTTCAGGAATTAAAACCAGTTGCATTAGCATTATTATCGTCATCTTTTTAGATATTCTCATTTCTCGTTGGAACACTTCAGACCAATTGAAACCCGATAATATTAACCATGTAATTGGCTATTTTCGTCTCTTATTACAGGTGGTTCAGGAATTTATTTTGGGTATATATGATGCAGAGGCCACTGCTGCTGTCAACCAGAATCTTTCTGACATATCTAGACTTAAAGATCCACGGTCAAAAGATGCATACCAAAGGTATGATTTTGTCTTTATCAAAATGCGTTAGATTGAGTACAGTTCATCAAATTGCACGGTTCATATAGGTATCATGCTCACCAATATACAAATGGGACTACTTGTGATCTTACTGACCAACAACGGGGGACTGAGGTATTAAGTTACTAATTTATATATATAATGTAGTTTTTAATTTCCTTGCGCATCTCTTCTTCCCGCCCTTACTTTGTATGCATTTGCAGGTGAGATTTGTGTGCTCAGAGGGCAGAGCTATGATTAATTCAATTACAGAGATAGCCACTTGCAAGTATGCAGTTACAATTCAGTGCCCCACACTTTGCAAGCACACGTGAGTCTCCGTCCCTCCCCCTCCCTCCCCCACTCTGTTATGTTTTGTGCGCATCTTTTTTGTGGTGTTATGTTACTAGTAGCTCTAATGACTAGCTTTGACCCAACAGAGCATTCCTAGCAGAGAGACCAGTATGGCAGGCCATTAACTGTAATGTGCTTCCCAAGGATTACAAGGAAACCAAAGCAGAGGAAGAATCTAATATTAAGCAGATAGTTTTGGTCGCAGACACAGACAGTGAATCTCCATCTAATGATGTTTCGGATGAGTAACAATATATTGATTCGCAGAATCTTTGTGAATACCAGTGATAGTCAACCTAATGTATTCATGTATCTTCTGATTTCTTTTGCATTTCTCACAAGATAGAAACATATTCTCATTTCCTCTATAACGTTGTTGTCCCTTTAGGAGAAGGGATGTTTTTTTCTTCTCCGTTTACCCCTGCAGGATTTCGAAGAAGTTGAAGATGTTGGGACCAAATAAAAAACATTACATATATTCCACAAGCCGTGATATTTATTTACACTAAAGTTCAGTGTATTATTTGGCCCGCTCAAATTCTTACACATGCCTTTTGCCCAAGAAAGCAAACCAACCATAGAAACCAATTCTGAAACTCACTTTTACCCCAAATAAGCGCTTTCCGACATCAGAGATGGAAAAGAGCTTACAACGTAAGGCCATGTTAATGTCACAGCTGGCAAGCCATTTCAAAGAAAAAGTTGTCAAAAAACAAGATAGAATTGACATAACACAACAAAATGCTTTATTAGTTATACTAATTTGGTACTTAATCGATTTCAAAATATTTTTTTTGGTTACAATTTCAAGATAACTTTCAATTTTGTACAATCTTACATTTAAAAACTGAAATCACATTCTTAATATTATGCGTAGTTTACTCTATTAAATGGTTAGATTAAAACTAGCGATTTGCATCGAGGACGATCGGGCTACACAAACGACATGTCATTGATATTAATGGGAAAAAGCGAAAAAAAACGGTGTTAGATGTCGTTGGGATAAACGACAGATATATAGCAGCATTAATCATCTGGAATGCCAATGGTAACTGTAGAGCCATCACCACAACTAAGTCTAACGCCTATACTGTTTTCATATATACCATTCATTATATATAATTTACATAGAATCTCCCTTGCTTATTATCAGAGTTGTGCTCTTCTCATTGGGAAGATGATGGTCTCTCACTATTTGCCTGCCGAGTCCAGCAGAGCCAAATACTCGTTTATGGCTTCACCTTCTTTGGTAACTTCAAGGTCATAGTCCGATAAAGCGTCTCCTTGCGCTAGTTCACCAGCAAGTTCATCTTCCATCTCAGCATCACGCTCTCCTACTTCACCAGCAGTTGAAGGACCCCCAACTTCACCATTTTGATCAACGTTATTATTCAGCATTGAAACAAGAGAATTTGCAATGTCATTAGCAGCATCAGTCGGGATATTGTTGCTAGCAGCATTTGTGGGGTTTCCTGCATTTTCTGAGAGCAACTGCTGCAATACTTGCTCCATCGTCCCCCCAGCAGCCTGAAAAGCTTCAACCACTGCATACCAAGTTTAACATCAGAGCCTAGCTACTTCTCAACCTCGTGGAATATTAAGAAATTGGACATTGCTTTCTGACAATGATAACAGTCTACGACAAAGTTCGATAAAAATGAAATTGTGAGGGTGATTTGGCCAATATTAGCTCTAAATAATAACAGGTAAAGTCAGTATCTCAGAGAGATAGCGGGGTATCTAAGTAATCTAAATAGAAAACATAAACATAAGAAACCTCCATAAAACATGCTAAAAACATGGTTCTGCTAACAGGCCTTTGACAAGTACCTCTTGATCTTTCGAAGCCCATGCCTACAAGCGCTTCAACTGAAGTATTAACTGCTTGGCTCTGTCGTTTCCTTTTCCTCGACTCAATATATACCTACAGGTCAGACAAAGTTAGTAATGTTGAAAATGTCTAATTAAATTAAAATAATAATTATATAGAAATACGCAGGTGACCTGTATGGAGGAATTAGTTTCTGGATTTGTCAAATCATCCAATGCCTTCTCAGCGTCATTCTCATTTCTTCTAAGCGCTTCAGCAGCAAGCTCCTTCTCAAACCTGCAAAGTCAAGCAACTCATAGAATGAACAATGACAGGGGCTCATGTTTATGGACATAAATTATCTTGAGCAGACTGCCAGTGAACCATCATTTTGAAACAAGCATGCCCTTTCAATTAAAGAATGATGAACAACTTGTCTTGGCTTGCGTACCCAATGGAGACCAATTGATTCAATTTCTGGAGATCCACAGCTTTCTTCAAAGGCGTTGTCCCATACTTCTTTTGCTCCCTGCCAATTTGTTGGTTTAAGTAACAGTACAAACAGAAACTCAAAGAAAAATCGATCTTAGAAAGGCACCCACATAATTTCATCTCGTCGCCGAATATCTTCTTCCCGTTTTTGGGCTCTCTTGGCCTTCTGCTCAACAAGAAAATCAACAGCACTAGAAACATCTTGATTGCTAATCCGCAATGCCCTTTTTGCATCTCGTTCTCTAAACCCCATGCTCATAACAAGTGATAGGGCTTCATCTGGCACCTGTAGCTGGTATCAACAACCAAAAATGTACTCAGGTGCATGTTGCAACATAGATGTAGAGATGGTAGGTTACTTGGATCTTGTTGAAAACTACTGGCATCACCCAGAAAAGTGAGAGATCAGGAATATCAGCACTTTGCAGATGTAATTTCAAACATGGTGTGGCAGTTCAGAAATAATTGACTGCAAAGTTTCAGTGCAACTTATGCATACAGAGTTCCAAAACAACCTAGCCAGGCAAAGCTAATCCTTGTGTGCATAATATGTTTGGCACCTTCCTTGTAATTCAACTAACCTGGGTGAATTTGCCTTGTGCAGAAGCTAGCACCTTCCTTGATTTCTCAAACTGACCACTGTGATACGCCACCACCCCTTCCAGCAGCTCCAGTCTCAAATATCTATGATGAGAAAACGAATAAGTGATTAGACCAAAATTATCCTGAGTCGTTCCGAGGAACATTCAGATCAAATATGCCTAGCAGTAAAAGTGCTCACAGTGCAAGCTCTGGGAAGCGGCCTGCCTGAAGGAGTCTGACACGAGAAGAGTCCTTTCCATGAGCTCGTTCAATTCCTTCTCTGGCTTTCTCAAGGCGAACTCCTGCCACTGAGAGCCAGCTGATGTCTCGGAGCATGAAATAGCACCAAACCATATCGATTTGCAGTATTGGAGGATTGTCAACAAGCTGAAAGCAAGTATGCGGTCAAACAGAAAAAGATATTATACACCGATATTGAAGTATATCTAAGAAAGAGAAATGAATCTTGATATATTTTGATGTCAAAGTTACATGGAGGCCACATGGAACTTGACAACAATATGGCTCAAAGTGATAATGATAAATCTTCAATACGGCTCACTCACCTCTATAACCTTCGGGTCAGAAAGAGAGAAAGCCTCCTACAATAATGAAATAACCACACGTGGATTAAGCAACACTCTTAGTCACAGAATCTTTTCTGGCTGCATACTTCAATATATAATAATTTGTTTACTACAGAAACATGTCCAAAACTGATATAACTAGAATTGGCATGGCATAAGGCATATAACATGAGATATTAGGCCATCAAATCAAAAGATATCTTTTATCCCAGGGTTACAGATCATATATCAAATTATCAATTGCAACAGGCACTAGGAACTGACCTCTCCCATGGCAAGCACTTCTAATGCATCTTTATAATTTTGTCTTTTAATTAGTTGTTTTCCATTTGTATGAAGCATCAGGCCCATCATGATTGCCCTGACAAATGACAGTTCAAATCTTTAAAATTAAAATGTGACTGTATGCCATTAAACTTCTCACAAAAGGAAGTAAGTGCTTGGATCAATTCTTGAAACCTAATTTTCTATCATACCGCTGATCAGTCTCAGATCCCAACTGTACTTTCTTTCCACTTTGATCTTCAAGTACTATATTGAAGTCTTCAATCGGCAATGAACCATCTGCATGTCTCTTGGCCAATGCAGTGGCAGCTGCCCTATTAAGGTAATAGGTACATTACCAAGTTAAAAGTGGAACATAGACATAAACAAATCAATAAAATAGGCCAAAATGTGCTATGCCCCGCTGATATAACAATCGGGGACCATTATCAGTGCCAGATGATAGAGGATCACTAAGTCAATAACTTCCTTATTGGAAGGTATTTCACTACCTCTAGCTCAAAACTATTCACTATTTTACTAGGTCCAAACCTGCATTCTCAAGAATAAAGCAGCCTATATGTCCCTAGAGCACTGTTTACAAACTCTATAATATTGGTACATCCAATCTTTAATTGGGTTACAAAACTGACCTTTTTTACTAACAAAAGGTTACAGTTCCTGGTATTTGCGAAGGACTCATTAGCTTGGATAGGAAGAAGCAGAAGAACAAGAAGAAGAAGAAGAAGGCTTATTTTGGATAAAATTTACACCTTTTTGACTACCAAACACCATGAAGTCACAAAACTGAGATTCAAATTTTCTTTTTGACAGAGTCCTCAATAACCAAAGAAAGACAAGATGAAAACACCAAGACGGAAACAATCTTCAGAAGTTCACTGATATTTCAGTTCAGTTTTCGCATAAAAGTGCTTTAGCAATTCAGCTCCAAAATCATATTGTCCCTCTCCAAACCTTGATTTTCGTTTTCCATAAAAAATAACAAGACGAATTAAATTCAAACAGAATTTGCTTCATCAATCCGAAACAAAATACACGAAGTAGATAGTTCGGAAGAACCAATAGCCAAACAGAAAACCCCAGATATATAAAAACCGATTCACAATGAACGGATTCTATTATCAAATTAACTAAAATAAGCACATTCTTCGTCAAAGGTCTGTGTTTTTATAAAAATTGAACAAACCTATGATCGAGAAATTAAAACGAACTGCAAAAGCCAAAAAGAAATAAAGTGAAAAGACTCACTTGACTCGAGCCAGTCTGCGAGAGCGTTCGTCTTCAGCCAGCAACTCCTCCTTCAAAGACTTGCCCTCTTCAGCACATACCCGACTAGCAAGAATCTTGGCGTTGTTCTTGATACCCAATTGGGCCAACTTCTCGTTTCCATCGCCGTCTTTCAAGACTCTTCCTGCGCATATCAAATTGATTGAGTTGCTCTCGCAGTTTGATCGCTTTGCAACCTCTTCTCTCAACATGGGTACGGTCCAATCCTCCAATTCAACCTCCAGCACACCCGCCCATGTCCCTGCAATCTTTAGCTTCGCCATGAGCAACACAGAGAGGGCTTAGGACAATGTGGGGCTTTCAAGAAAACGGAAACGGGGTATATAATATAGAGAATTTCTTGTTCATCAAGGCTTAAACTTTCCACCTTGGTTTTGTGTTGGACTGGACACAGTAAGTAGGACTCTATATAAAGATGGGACTTTACTTTGTATAAAGCTACAAATATAAGATATAAGAAGGGGGAAAATGAAATATTAAGAAAAGGAAGAAAGAAAAAATTGGTCCTTATTAGAAGGAAAAAAGGAAAGAAAAAGTTGGTCTTTAATTCTTGTATTTAAATGGACAGATGGAGAGGGTATATTGGTGTATTATATGCTTTCAGTTTTCATTCACAGTTTTAACTTTTAAATGGGAGTTTTTCTAAATTATAATACTCAGGGGTAGAGAATAGCAATAAGCACTAACAAGTGGCCGTTGGCAAAATGCTTGCTTTAGGAAGGGCCAAGAGGAAAGAAGAAAAGAAAAACATCATAGTGATCTGCACTTACAGAGTTATATGCTTCCCAAACTCTGCGTGTCAACATCTCTCACTCGGTAGTAATCAAACTTCAAAGTCCACCAGCAATGGCTGCCGGCGGCGGTGGCAGCAGAGCAGCTAAGAGCACCGCCAAAGGAAAGGCCAAAAACAAGAAACGACACAACAAGAAGCCCCTCAGTCAACACCACCTCGTAAGTCTCGTAGCCACCGCCACCTCACTGGCCCACTCCTTCCTCTCCCAAAACGACCTTCTCCTTCTGCCCTCCCAAACCCTAACCCTAGAAACCCTTCTCTCCTCCACCTCCACCTCCCTCTCCACCCTCCTCTGCTTCCCGAACCCTCCACCGCAACCACCACTACGGCCGCCACCACCACCACTAGAATGCTGGTTCAGCCGCTTCCTCTCCGCCACCTCCGCCAGCAGAAACTTCGACTCACTGTGGTCCCACACCTTCCGCATGTCTGAACACTCCTTCTCCATCCTCCTCTCTCTCCTCTCCCCATTTCTCAACTCCACAATCCCTTCAATTCCACCCAATTTCGTTCTCGCTGCTGCAATTTACCGTTTAGCCCACGGCGCGAGCTACAAGGCGGTGGGAAGGCGCTTCGGGCTCGACTCGGTGGAGGCCTGCCGAGCCTTTTTCGCCGTCTGTAAGGCGGTGAGCGATAAATTAGGTAACTTGTTCGAGTTCCGGTCTGATATAGCCCGGATTGTGGGGGGTTTCGGGTGGATTTCGCTGCCGAATTGTTGTGGGGTTTTGGGGTTTGGGAGGTTTGGGGTTGGTGGTGAAGTTTTGGGGCCAAACGGGTCTTTGTTGGTTCAGGCATTAGTGGACTCTGAGGGGAGGTTCCTTGATGTCTCGGCCGGATGGCCCAGCGCCATGAAACTCGAATCCATTTTCCGTCAGACTAAACTTTATTTGGGTGTAGAGGAATCTAGGGACTTGCTGAATGGTCCTGTTTATGAGCTTGGTAATGGCAAGGCCATTCCTCAATACATATTGGGGGACTCTTGCTTCCCTCTTTTACCATGGCTTTTAACACCTTATATAAGATCGGATGAGGCGGATAGCTTTGGTTCATTGGAGAAGGCGTTTAATTCGGTACATAGTCGCGCAATGGGGTTGGTTGACACCGCATTTGGGAGGGTTCGGGCTCGGTGGCAGCTTCTGTCTAGGCAGTGGAAGGAAGAGTGTGTCGAGTTTATGCCATTCGTTATTGTTACAGGGTGTCTGCTGCATAATTTTCTCATCAAGTGTAGCGAGCCCATGCCAGATGACAATGTGAAGAGCTTAAGGGAGGAGGAGCTTCCTGTTTTCCATGGACAGGTGGATGAGAGTGGTGAGAGGATGAGGGATGTACTGGCCACCCACCTGAGTCGGGTAAGCCTGAGAAGATGAATTCTTTGATTGCGCTTGTAGTCGCTCTTACTTGCTATGATAGATTAGCAGTGCTGCTTATTAGATGCTGGGAGAGAATTTTTGGATGACTTGGAGCCTTAACTCTTGATTGGTATGGTCTGCTTCCACCGCATTATGTATGTGCTTTTGTATGTAATGTCTCATTTCATCACTGGATGAAATTGACATGCATATGATATGCATTTCTAAGTTTTGTGTGTAAATAGACAACGAAGACCATGAATGTTACGGCTTCAACAAGTAGTAGTAGTAGTAGTGTCATATTTCATCACTGGATGTGCTTATTCAATCAAATGTCTTTCAATGGTATGCGGGTGATATTGTTATCCTGTTTCTGATAATGCTAATTATCTGTGATGATTTGCCTGTTAGTTGGGCAAAATCAGCACAATTTTGGGATACATATTAGCATATTTTGTGTTGAAATCTACTCTACTGTCTACTAAATAAGAACAAAGTTTGAATACATGTATTCATTTAGGACTAAGGATTGCCTCTCTTATGGCGACCTCCTCAAACTTGTTAATGCTTATTAAAAAGTTCATCCCTAAGCAATGTCACTGAAGGAGTGCTTTCTTTGGCAGATTGGGTGCCTTGATCCTAATTTGCATCTAAAGTATGTTAAGCATCTGCATAATCAAGCTCTCAACCACTGCTCTGTCTTGGAAAATTCACGCAGCCAGAACCCACAAAACTCAACTAGGAAAACATTTATTAAAAACTATACTATGAGGTTACTATATATATATATATTATTAACAGAAAATTTGTGTACACAAATTAACAAAGATGATGTGCACTTGTATTAGTTTGAACTTTGAAGTTGTAATGGTCAATATGGGGATACAAAGTCTGCTGTGAAATGTTATCCCCTCAATCACAAACCAGCCAGACTCTAACAGCATCCTTTCAACTCCAACGCAAGATTAGAGGCATTTACATTGCTTATGTAAGTTGAAGGGTAATTCACGTATAATCTTAGAAACTAAAGTTGCAGCTTTGCTGACCAAAGGCTTTAGTGGCACAGTTTAACCAGCAAGATAGAAGTCCCCTGAAGCCTGTCTGTGAGACTTCACCTCCCCGTCGTTGTAAAACTCTTATGAACTCATTTGCACTCAAATCACCATCGCCATTTGCATCAAACACATGGAATATTATGTCAATCACATTGTTAGGAACAGAGATGCCGCATACCTGTATAAGCAGAAGTTAATCGTCATCATAATAATAATCTACTAATGATCAAAGAAGCTACCTAGAAATAAGAGATGTGTATGTTATGTACTTGGGAAGCGGCCCTCTGGAGATCTTTTTTTGTCAACACCCCATTCACTTCTCCGTAACTGAAAATGGCAAGAGAGAAGGACTGCAAATTCTTTCGAAGCTCTGCAAAATCTACAAATTCCTTATATGTGATTTTTATGTCTTTGAGACGTGGATCGTTGTCCAATTCGTCAACCCGATCAAGCAACTTGTTTGTATCACTGATATCAGCAGATGCAACCAAGGACAATGCGAAATCTTTAGCTGATATGGTTCCTTGTTCTTTGTAGTCGTAATGAGAAAACTCCAAACGCAACATCTTTCAAATTCAGAAATAGATAGCAGAAAAACAAACGGGAAAAGATCAGCTGACTGCAAGAGGAAAAAAATAAAGTACGATAAAATGACAAGGCCCTGAAAAAAACAAAAGACCACGTACTTCACCGTGTAAATCCCTGAAAAACTTAACAAATGTTTCATGTTTGAGACTTTTTTTGCCATCTTTGCCAAAGAAGTGCTCAAGTAGGCCTCCGTCTTCTACAGAAACTTTGAGCCTGTGGCCGTCCTTGTTTTGTTTGCTTTGAGATCTCATCAAAGACATGACTTTATTAAACTCCTCCCTATCAATGTCTCTGTTAATAATACACGTAACAAGTTAGCTTTCTATCAGAATCAGCTACACATGAAAAGATGTTTTTACTTATAACTTGACCAGAGAAGACGATAAAGAATGTAAACCCACCCGCTGTTGTCAAGATCAAACATTTTAAATGCCACCGTAAAGCTTGCCTCGGGGATGCTGAGGAGGGTGACGAAGAAGATGAACCTGATCACATTAAGAATGAAACGAGTATGACGTTTTTAGATCATAACAAGAAGTTTCAATTAGAGTAATTGAGTGTATTAGCGCGCTACTCACTCGGGAAAAGAAATGAGGCCGTCACCGTCAGTGTCGAAAAGCATAAAGAATTTGGAAGGAGCACATTGCAACTGGCCAGGAACCTTCTCCCCTCTCAAAGAGCCCTCTCTGACACGGGTTGATTCAGAGGGAGGAAATACAGGAACAACTGCTCTCATCAGGTCTGCCGGAGTCATAAACGCCTCTCCTGCTGGGTTTTTATCCGATGCAAAGTACTCAAATACCTGAAAACCACAACACAAATATGTAGTGTTGCCCAACAAACTATCTATCTAGTTCAAATCTGACACCACAAACATATAACTTTGCAATAAATCAATTTTGTGAGGAGTGCATGCTGCATACCTTCTCAGGAGGACTTTGATCTCTGATCCGTTTTTCGTACATAAAGAAAACTCTTCTCCTATATGAATCTGAGACAAGATCTATTAGGGTAAATACCTTCTCCATACATGTACCATTAATTACTTCATTATGCATACACAGATTAACCTAATATCTTCTACATGTATTGGATGTGCAAGACATGAAACTTGAATAGTAGGGTATTAAACAGAACAGAAACATGAGGGAAAACACGATCTATAGATCAAGTTAAGTTGAAGAAAACAATGGAACAAACAAGGTACCTCCAAAGAGGGAAAACTGAGCTTTATTTTGGTCATCCCCGATTGCCCATGCCGTCGCCTCTTTCGGACAATTATCAGCAAAAGACACAAAGGAGTTCGGATCCAGATAAGAAGAAGACCAATAAGAAAAGCCTATACTGGTCCCAAGAATCAGAACCCCTGAAGAAACCGATCTCAGGAAGAAATTAAAAGTATCTTCACTGGAGCCTGATCTGCCGTTGTAGTTGCCATCATAGCCAAACCTACCTACTGATGAGCTGAGTGAAGAGGAAGAAGAAGAGGAAGAAGAAGAAGAAGAAGAAGAAGAAGAAGAAGAAGAAGAAGAAGATGAAGAAGAAGAAGATGGTGATGATGAGACAAAGGAAGGTTGTGATTTGTTGAACAACGGGCGAGAGCTGAGGCGTTGAACGTCAAAAACAACCCGGTGTACAGACCGTGAGGATTTCCCCCAAGAAAACATACTATGATTCTATGGCTAGGGTTCTACTGTAATGCTGCTAGTTAATTCTAAGTTCTAACAACGTTACGCACAGAAGGAATTAAATTAATTGGTGAGTGAGATTCTTCTTCTTCGTCTCAGAGGGTAGCTGAGGAGGTTATAATGAGGAGAGAGTGAGAGTGAGAGGGAGAGAGGATGGTACGGAATTGAATTGATTGAGTGAACGGGTACGGTTTTGAAGCGGGAAAGGCGGTGCCTCCTGGCTTTGACTGAATCTGCTTGTAACGGTTTTTTCAAAAGTTAGTTAGTGGTTGTCATGTGATTTGGGTCTATTTACTTGTTTTCAATGGAACTTTCACACTTAGGTCGATCAGATGGTTACAATTATTCCTGGATTTTACGTGATGTAGGACAAGATAGGAGTCTGAGTATAATGGAGAAAATTAAAGAAAATAAAGCGGTAGAGAATTAGCAAGAAATTACGGAAAATAAACGAAGTTCACACTCAACCATTAATTATGTCCTGAAAAATATAGTAATAAGGTGTATCATTAAGATTTTTGGGTTGCTTGAACAAACTCAAGGAATATGATTTTTGGCAAGGTGTTAGATTTTATTTCCTTTTTCATTTTGTCTGTGGTTTAAGTTTTAGGATATTATGTAAATTTCCTAAACAATTAAGGTTTATGTAACTTTACAGTTTTGATATTTCTTACTCAACTAGGTTTCTTAGTTTAACAACATTCCTTAAATCTTTGAAAGTAGAACAAGGATATCATTTTCCTAATATATATTTTACTTATTAAGGAAGTCATAAGAATATATTGGAACCGACCATTAAGATTTTCTAGGTTTATCAAGATTTACGTTTACGGTGAATTCTAAAAATACTGATAGATTTTAGTTTATGTACTTGGAAAGCCCATTATGTAATGTACGCCTTTTTTCTAATTTGTGATTGAGATTGCACTTTGGAATCATTCATATGTAACATGTTTGATAAAGTATTGTTGATGAATGTATTAGTTACGAAAGTTGCGAGAAACTTACAACTTCAGTAATAGCATATTTTTCTCACATATTCCACATACTGTTACTGTTAATTGGATTTCTGCTGTAAGAAAAAAAGGAAAGAAAAAAAAAATTTGTCTGGACTCGAAGGCTGGCACAGGGGCGGTCAATTAAGATACAGCTCTTTGCTGCATTCCCTGTTCAGGTTGATGGGGAGCCTTGGTTTCAGCAACCATGTACATAATATTCAAAGTGTATAGCTGGCCGGCTATACTGTTTAAATATATGTTAATATTTAACTATTATAGCCGTGCGGTTATACGTTTTAAATATATTCAAATATTTAATGAGTATCGCCGCACGGCTATACTATTTAAATATATTTTTATTTTTATTTATATTTAACGCGTATAGCCGACCAGCTATACCAATTAAATATATCCAAATATTTTACGAGTATAGCCGGGCGGCTATACCTTTTAAATATAGGAATATTTAAATTCGTACAGCCGCGCGGCTATACGCTTTAAGTATATTCGAATATTTAAATTTTATAGCCGCTCGGCTATACTATTTAAATATATTTTAGGATTATTCGTAGCAATGGTCCCTCAACTATACCCCAAGTTACACTTTGGTCACTCAACTCAAATATTAGTTGCAAGATCACTCAATTAGGTGTTTTGTTGCACCGTTAGTCATACTGTCAAGTCTCTCTAACGGTAGGGACTAATGGTGCAACACAACACCTAATTGAGTGACCAAAATGTAACTCTGAGTATAGTTGAGGGATCATTGTTACAAATAATCTTAACTGAAAAGTCACATTTGCCCATC